GCCCAGCATCAATTGGACCGGATTAGTCTTCATCCACTTCATTGGACCTTTGGCAAGTTCCCATTGTTTTCACCCGAAACATATATATATATATATATATATATATATATATATATATATATATATATATATATATATATATATATATATATATATATATATTATAATCTAACAGTTTTTTGTTTCACAATAATTACAATTAACTAGATAGTACCAAGTCATCCTCGATGTATGAAAAGTAACGATGTATAAGATTGCGTGTGCACACACACACGTGCTATTATCTACTATGTTCAATTCATACTCATTTACTCTAAATGCGAGCCCATACAGGGTTTTTAATTAATAGAAATGAGCAATAAGTTATTAAGAAAAAAAATTTAATAATATATTTATCATGGATCAAAGTAGATATTAAGAACAAAAATTTTTGTATACATCCGATGTACATAATATTACTGTACATCGAGGTAACTTTTGGTGAATTTAGGGTAATTTTTATCCACAAAGCTTAAATAACTTTGATTTATAACTTATATATACTGGGTAATTTTCATTCATTATAGGGTAATTTTTGTTCATTTTAAGGTAATTTTGAAGCAGATGTACTGATTTTTTTTTTTAAAAAATGTTTGTCTTTTAAGAAAGAGCCAAATAAATAACCTATAATTTAAAAAAACGTCCCATTAATGTATAACAGTTATTATTAGAGTAGGACATGAATAGAGTAACTAATATGGATTAAAAATCAAAATTGAATTGGACACAAAAATTGTAGCGACACCTTTATTGTTTTTAGGGGTCAAGTTAATGATTCTATTTCAGGATAATATTTTTGTTAATTGAAAGTGTCCAAAAAAATCGAAAAATGCCCCTTTAATTATTTGGTTATGCATGATCGGTCGATCACAAGCAAAAAAGTTCATTGAGATAAGTATGTTATTATTGTACGATGTAGGTTAAGGTTATTATGTTGGGTTTGAATTGCTACAATTTGCGTGGGAGAGTTGCATGAAGTTTTCAAAAGTTGGTTAAATTGGTTAGTTAGTGGAGTTTTGTTCCTTTTACTTTAAAGAGGATTTTATCTTTTGCGTGTAAGTAGCTGGATTCGCCAGCATATATACATGTTTTAGCCCTTTTTTTTTTTTTGAAGAACATGTTTTAGCCCTTTTAAGTGGTGCCTAATTATTTATTTCATATTTATTTTTCAGGATAATTAACAACAGTGGATAAATGGATAAGTTTGTGAATCTAATCAACACTTTTTTTTTTTTTGAAGTTATTTGCTTGTGTTGTTAGCTTGTTACTTGTCATTGCTCATTGGAAATTGTTATTTAAAAATTAAAAATAGTGTGTGAAATTAATACAAGTATTGAGAATTTTGAGAGTGTGATTATTAAAAGGTTTTTTTTAAAAAAAAAAAATGTTGTAAGAAACTATCTAATAAAAGGTAAAATGTTGTACGGATATTGCCACTGGCTGAAAAACTACCGTTGACCTAATTCTATGGTGTTGGCCCTACCTCAAAACACCCTTGTAAGCACCACGGGGATTGGTTTTCAAGGTGGTAAAGGTTATTTTTTGGATGGTTGAAGGATATTCCGAGTTGATAAGGGAAATTTCGTGTTTTGTGATATTGGTTTTTAGGGTTAGAGGTGGTGGTTTTAGGGTTAGAGGATGGTTTCAGCATGGTGGTGGCAATTTCAAGCATCCGGTGTTGGTTTTGGTGATAAAAGTGGTGGTTTCGGGGTGTTTTGAGGTGGGTCAATAGTGGAAACCTAGTAGAGGTAGTATTTTACAAAATTTTACCTTTAAATGGGTAGTTTCTTACAACGTTTTACCTTTATTAGGTAGTTTCTTACAACTTTTTTAATAGGATGTAGTTTCTCACAATATTTAAGATTATTAGGTAGTTTCTGATAAAAAGTCCTTATTAAAAATTAAGCATAGAAAACTTACTCGTCTATTATTATACAAAGTATATGAAGTAAGGGAAAAACATTGGACAATTGTTAGTGATGCATCACATAACCCTACAAGGCTTATAATCTTTCTTGCTAGATTGTGTACGAAGTAGTAAGCAATTCATCACAATTTTTAATTTTTAAAAAAAAGTAAGCCCAAAGGCTTTGCTATATTTGGCATTCAAGACTAAGTATTTCTATCTTCTCTCAAACTTTAATCTAACAAATTATGATAAGATCAATTAACCTTGTAGAAAATGACATTGGACCGAGTTGTAACAATACATTAATGCATGTATATGTAACATGATAGTATATATATATATATATATATATATAAAAAAAAAAAAAAAAAAAAAAAAAAAAAAAAAAAAAAAAAAAAAAATAATATATATATATATATATATATATAGGAGGGATCCGGTAAGAACCTCTCCTTATATAAGAACCCAATCTTATATAAGAACCCCTCTTTATGTTCTAAACTTTTTTCGGCTTATGTTCTAAAGTTTTCCTATGTTCTAATTTTTTTTCTGCTTATGTTCTAATTATTTCATATATTCTAAATTATTTTTTCAGCTTACATTCTAAATTTTTTCATATGTTCTAAATTATTTTTTCAACTTATGTTTTAAATTTTTTCCTATATTCTAAATTATTTTTTCAGATTATGTTCTTAATTTTTTCCTATGTTCTAAATTATTTTTCATATGTTCTAAATTTAGCCTATGTTTTAAATTTTTTTTCCTATATTCTATATTATTTTTTCGGCTTATGTTTTAAATTTTTTCCTATGTTCTAAATTATTTTTTCAACTTATGTTTTAAATTTTTTTCCTATATTCTAAATTATTTTTTTCAGTTTATGTTCTAAATTATTTTTCATATGTTTTAAATGTTTGTTTGTTTATGTTCTAAATTTTTTTTTCTATGTTCTAAATAATTTTTTTCAGCATATGTTCTAAATTTTTTCTTATGTTCTAAATTTATTTTTCAGCTTATGTTCTAAATTTTTTCATATGTTCTAAATTATTTTTTAGCTTATGTTCTAAATTTTTTCCTATATTCTAAATTATTTTTCATATATTCTAAATGTTTGTTTGTTTAGGTTCTAAATTTTTCATATGTTCTAAATTTTTTTTCCTATATTATACATTTTTTTTCCTTATGTTCTAAATTTTTTTTTCAGCTTATGTTTTAAATTTTTTTCTATGTTCTAAATTTTTTTTTCAGCTTACGTTCTAAATTTTTTCTTATGTTTTAAAAGTTGGTTTGCTTATGTTCTAAATTTTCCTATAATCTAAATTTTTTTCCTAAATTCTAAAGTTTTTCTTATGTTCTAAATTTTTTCCTATATTTTAAATTATTTTTTCAGCTTATGTTTTAAATTTTTTTTTCTATGTTCGAAATTATTTTTTCAATTTATGTTCTAAATTTTTTCCTATGTTCTAAATTATTTTTCATATGTTTGTTTGTTTATGTTCTAAATTTTTCCTATGTAGTAATTTTTTTTTTCCTATATTCTATATTATTTTTTCAGCTTATGTTCTAAATTTTTTCCTATGTTTTAAATTATTTTTTCAGCTTATGTTCTAAATTTTTTCCTATGTTCTAGATATTTGTTTTCTTATGCTTTAAATTCTTCTTCTTGTTTTTTTTTTTGGTTGTTGTAAATAGGTGCGTAGTCCTGGAGTTGATATAAATATCCTATGTGTTGCCCCTAGACATGCTACGCGAGAGGTAAGATATAACTTTTGTCTGCTTCTATACTTTTTCCATTATTTTTTGCTACTTTAGTGCCCCTTAACTTGTTATATTTTACTGGATATAGGAAGATTTCTTCGAAGAACTCCATTAGATGCTTTCTGAGATGCCTGAGGTTACAAAGTTGCACCCTGTGCCTGATGCTTTTGTCCCGGTGATGAGATTTAAGTTCAATGGGGTGTCCATAGATCTTCTTTATGCAAAATTGTCGCATTTGAGTTTCTACATTGCATGTGATTGTTTTCCTCGGCTTCTATGGGAGGGTGTTGATTTATATTAAAAACCTATTAGCTCAAGTGGTAGAGCACTATGCAAATGCATAGTTGATATAAGTTCGAATCCTACATAGGCAATATTTATAAATAACTATATAAGAAAAACTTTAGAAAATAGGTAGTAAAAGTTTAGAACATAAAAAAAAAAAAAAAAAAAAAAACTTTAGAACATAAGTAGACTGAATTTAGAACATAGGCAAAAGAATTTTGAACATAGGAAAGAATATTTTAAACATAGGAAATAAAAACCGTTAGAACATAGGTAGAAAAAATTTAGAATATAGGAAAAAATTAGAACATAGGTTGAAAAAATTTAGAACACAGGAAAAAAAAACTTTAGAACATATGTAGACTAAATTTAGAACATAGAAAAAAAAAATTTTGAACATAGATAAAAGAATATTTAGAATATAGGTAAAAGAATATTTAGAACGTAAACAAAAAAAAAGAAAAAAAAAAAGAAACTTTAGAACATAGGTAGTAAAAATTTAGAACTTAGGAAAAAAAAACTTTAGAACATAAGTAGACTGAATTTAGATCATAGGCAAAAGAATTTAGAACATAGGTAAAAGAATATTTAGAACATAAGAAGAAGAAAAAAAACTTTAGAACATAGGTTGGAAAAATTTAGAACATAGGAAAAAAAAAAAAAAAAAAAAAAAAAAAAAAAAAAAAAAAAACTTTAGTATATAAGTAGACTAAATTTGGAACATAGAAAAAAAAAATTAGAAAATAGGTAGACTAGATTTAGAACATAAGAGTAGGCAAAAAAATTTAAAACATAAAAAAAGAATTACAGAAATGCCATTACTAAAGGATGGTTTTAGATGGTTGGATCAAAACTAATAAATGGTTGAGATTGGTTCTTATATAAGATTGAGTTCTTATATAGAGGAAGGTTCTTACATGAGCCTTCCTCTATATATATATATATATATATATATATATATATATATATATATATATATATATATATATATATATAATCGTATAATTTTATACGTGTTAGTGTGAAAACACGACCAGTGAAGTCAATTGTATATACCATACTATACACAAAACACAAGACAAGAAAAAGGATATAAAAGAAAAACATAAAAGTAAAGTGGCCGAAAAAAAAGACACAATCATAGTTCATAAAAGGTTAAAGCCTTAAAGGTAGTGTTTCTTCCTTTCACTCAACATCAAAAAAAAAAAAAAAAAAAACTTTGGCTATATATTAAGCTTTTTTGTCACTTTGGTTTTTATTTTAACAGCTAACAAGCAACAACACAAATTCTTTCACAACTTGTGCTTCCTTAGTTGAAAATTATTGCCTATTTATAATTGATCATAACCTATTATTTTTGTATAATATTCTTTTTCATTATTACTCCCAATTTTCTCCCACTTCAAATTATCCTAAAAAAAAGGTTCATAAAGTTTGATGATTAACTATTAATTAGCTATTATCATCATTAAATAAAGAGAATAATAATTCGGGTGTGCGTGGTACTATTGAAGGAGGACTTCACTAATCACTACACTAAGCTAGCATCAATGTCTGCTAAAAAAGGTACTAATCTATGTTTTTCTTTTGTTATTTCCTCATTACTTTTCAATCTAACATTTCTAAACTTTGCTCCTTTCGTTTTATTTCCAAAAATATGAATATTACCACCACAAAAGGAACAATTTTGAAATCAACTACATAGTCACTTAGCCCATGATGATATATTTGTCACATTACTTGTTTAATTGATACTGTCGATGTGACTATTTACTTTAATATGTATGGAGGATGAAGAAGTGTAATTGTAATATATAATTGCATAATTTTTTTTGTAGATTTACAAACTATTATATTCATGGTTCTTTATTTATTTATTTATGTATTTGTTATTATTTATCAATATCTTAGACATATCTCCCAAGTGTAGACTAAGATTGAAGTATACGATATATACATACTTAATAAAGTTTGTTATATATCATCACACTAATTATCTAATAACAAATGATTGTATGAAGTATTTATTTTAGTTAGCCCCTCCAAACTAATTAATTTTATTTTGAAATCCGATAACGATCATGTCATGTTACATTTACAAATTAACAAATTATACTATGTATTTGATTTTGACAAAATTTTTGGAAATATAGCTTGTATCTTAAAAAAATATTGTAGACTTAGCATAAATATTATGAAAACGCGACATGATGATTAATAAAAGTTTATCTTAACTATTATTAATTACTTAGGACCTGTTCTCTTCAGCTTAATTTCATTTCACTTCCTAATTTCCTTCTCTCATAAACAATTCAGTTCAGCCCAATTTAGTTAAGTTCAGTAAATCAGAACAGACCTTAGTTTCAACAATTTTTTTGTTGGATAAATTAATATTTCTGTGGAATATATAGGTGATAAGAAGAAGGCATTATACAGTGAAGATTTCCAAGCAATGTTAGAGAGATTAGAAGAGGAAGACAATGCAGATACAAGTCGACAATTGATGAAAAAGAGCAGATTATGCTTAGAAAAAGTTAAGGCTTTAGAGAAGCATTTTGAAGTGGAAAACAAGCTGCAACCGGATAGGAAAGTTAAGATAGCTGAAGATGTAGGGCTTGAGCCAAGGCAGGTAGCCATTTGGTTCCAAAATCGTCGTGCTCGATGGAGGGCTAAGCAATTAGAGAGGGAGTATGGTGATCTTCGCGCTAGTTATGATGCTCTTAAGCATGATTATGGTTCCCTTGAGCAAGAAAAGGTTGATCTACTTGGCCAGGTACATGTTTTATATACGTAGTAATTTTACTATTTTAATAATTATACGTCACAAAAAAAACATGACAATAAGATTAGGCTCGCAATAATGGGTCTGATCTAGTCTGATGGCTAAGTTGGTTCAATAAAACCAATAGAACCGCGAATTGGCTGATAGGGGATCTATTAGTTGAACACCCTAGCTAGTCAGTTGGTAATATACGCAAAATCGACATTGCGTATTAGTTAGATATTAGTATGGTATGTGTTTCTACATTCTAATTATAGCAACTCGAGCCAAGTGGACAATACTATTTTTAGTGTGGATAATCAATTATATTCTTTGTATGTTGTGGTACAGTGAACCAAGTCATGATAATTAAGTTGCAAGAGCTTGGGTTATAGTAATACGTACATTTTATGAGATAAACTACATTTCTTATATTTAGATATGTAATTAACACAAAGTAGGAGGTTATCTAATCTTCATTCATTTTAATTATAGCAAAATATGAATAAATCACAATATATACGTACATTCCTCAAATTAGCATGACAAGCTAAGATTTAGTATTATTCATTTAAGACTTGGATAAATATATATGTACTATCACATGTAATTGGAAGGCCACATTTTGGAAAATTGTATTATTTGTCACAAGAAGAAAAGCTATTTTAAAGGACAAATAGAATTTTCCAAGAGGAAATATATATGGTTTGTCGATTGTCGCTACTAAACGATGAACATAAATTCATTATTATCACCAAGTCAAAACAAACATCCTTTTCTAATTAATGCCAATGAGAAATTGGTGATCCTCATTTATGACTTTATAGCGATGACCATCTTCCATGAGAAATATTGGTTGAGCCCCTTAGCTTTGCTTTGACACCATTGTACTTAGCATGAATAGTAGATTAGATGATTTGTATTAAGGAACATCGATATACAATCAATAGACACTAGTGTGTTGGGAGTATCGTCCTGTAACCAACAAAGTTTGATAGTTTATTTGATTCTTATTTAACTTATGCGGTTTCTGCATTCCTAGCCTAAACATAGTGTTAAAAAAAAAATAATAAAAAAAAAAAAAAAAAAAAGTTCACATGAAACAATTAGTACTTCAAAATATATATATATATATATATATATATATATATATATATATATATTTATGTCATGCTAGTCGTCTTCACTTATTTAAAGAACGGGTTTGTCAATTACTTAATTATTTACTTATAGATATCAACTAACTAATAGTCTAATAGTACGTCATTGTAAGTTTAAATTAGAGAGTTAGAGGCTAGGTTTCAGTTTCGACCAATACCTAAAGATGTAGGATTATTGATAGATTTTACCATTATTGTACTATTATTATTATCCTATATATCGTACATGAAAGTAGAATAGTTAAAGTTTCTACTTATTTCTTGCAGCTTAATGACTTGAGATCAAAGATTGAAACAAGAAAATCTGAGATGAAAACTACTAATACTACTCTTTCAAATCCAATCACGATAAATTCGACCGATATCATGAATGAAGGCACTTGTATGAATGTTCCATTACAAGCATCTCCAACTCCTTCATGTAGGACGTTGGATCCATATGATATGCCTTCATCGACGATGACTGCGACGACTTTATCATTGGATGGACTTCAGTTATGCAAAGCTTATCAAGACCATATAACAAAGATGGAAGAAATGGGTGTTCATAATATGAACAATGACATTTCAGGCAGTTTTTTTTCGGTTGATCAAGTTCCTACCTTGCATTATTGGTATAATAATAGTGATCAGTTTAACTAGATTAAAGCAAAATATAATGTTTAATTTATATGGTAAGACATATAAATATTATAGGTAGATGTTAATTAGTATGTAAGGTACGATTTTCTAAGTTTATGTGTATTGACACCTAGTACAAATTATATAATTTAATCTGATACTTAGCTTTGTACTATAACGTAAATATTTTGTTGAGTTTTATGAGCATACATGGTGCATATGAATGTTTTGACTTGTGACCTTATTGGTACAAGGCTCGCGTTTGTCTATATATGATTATCAAAAAGCTTTTTGTAAATACATACTAATGTTCAATTTTTATTAGATATTATTTATTATACCTAACTAATCTATACTATATAGTATATATTAGGTGTTCCTTTTAGAAGAACGGTGTCACGTGCCACTGTCATGTCATAATGCTACGTCACTATCCATATTATGTGCACCATGCAAACTTGTCACTTCATTTAACAAAATAAAATATGCTTTGAGTTAAAATCGAATCCATAACCTCCAATACATACATGTAGTACATTTATCATCTCAACCAACTTTTATTAATGTTTCAAATTTCAACAATAATTATATATTCCATTCATTTATTAAGTAAGTTACAAGTAATTTAATTCATTTATTTTTCAGAAGACTATATAAATTAAATACATATGAGATTAATAAATAAATAAATAAAGTTAAAAAAAAAAAAAATGGCACCCAAGACAATGTCTGAACCACTACACACTAACTATACAAACAATCAAACATGATTACTAAATTAAAAAAGTACATAAGCTAGCAACTCCAGACATCGCCCGAGACAGACACTAGTTATCAATGAAAAATAGCTTCTCCAGTTTATTACTCCGTACAATTTAATGTTCTCTTTCAAGAGGCAAATTAGCTTCTCAAATTTAAGACGATTAAATGTTTTTCCCTTTGAAGCTAAGAGGCCAATTAGGCATCCGATTAAATGATGTAATGGTTTGTTTTCTGTTCCATCATTCAAAATGATCAATTAGGTTTATGTGATGTTAGAGGCTAAGCTACTAGCTAGTTTTTATTCCACTAAAAAGAAGAGAAAAACTTCGAAGAAGTAATTTACGAGAATATTTTCATTTACATGTGTTTTTTTTCTTGTTGTTGTTTAATGTATTAAATTACATGCGTAGCTATTTTACCAAGAAAGTTATTTCATTCCAATAAAAATCAGGCAAATAGAGCAAGAAAATTAATGTTGTGTAAGCTTGATCTCAACCTAATTAACATCTAGATAGAATTATTGTAATTTAAATTGACAATATTGTAGCAACATTTGTTTTCACTTAAAATAAGTAGTAGCTTTGCTGAAATTTGAAAGTTGAGTTCATTTTTTGTGTGGCTAAATTAGTTTAAAAGTTTAGTTTAAAAAAAATAATTGTAGATATTAGATTAAAAAAAAAAGATTTAGTAAACCTAATTAATTTTGGATTATCTCAATACTGATTTGATCAACTGATGATTAAGTATACAACTCGTCTTGTGTGCGGCCGGCCACACCGTGTGACCACTTAAAGTAACCCCTATAACATTGATTAAGTAACTCATGTAAATCTGTAATACCAATCAAGTAATCCCTATAACAGTGTCCGAGTAACTCTATATCAATGATGAAGTAACCCCTTTTACACTTATCAAGTAACCTCCATTACACTAGCAAAGTACCCCTATAGTGGCTGACCACACCGCATATAAGACTTTGTGTTAAGCATACTATATACTATATTCACAATTGTTCTATTCAAAAAAGAAAAATATACTATATTCACAATTGTTAAAATATTCATTCTACTCATTACATTAATCTCTATATTAGTATTTCTTTTAACAGACAAAAGCACTATATCTATACCGGAAACAACAATAACTACAATTGCAAAATGATAAAACCTAATTTAGATCTAAGTTTAATGGATTAGGACAACGAAAACCTTCTCCCTTGAAGGAAACATTATATCATGAGGTCATGTAGTAGTTTAAAATTATCTTGTCGTCACCTACAAAAATATACATTACATCAAATCAAATTTGGTCCAAGCGAAACGTGTGATAATACGATCATTTAGAATTGGACACAAAATTAGAGGTCAAAAAAAGCAACTCCAACCCTTGAAATAATGTTGTTGGCTACTCTAACACGTCTAAGCCGTATTTATTTCTTTGCATTTCTATGAGTTCGATTTAAAATAACCACTATAAAGTGTGAGGTACATTGTTATTGGTCTCCCTTTATTTTTATGTCATTTTCTCTTAGAGTCTTAGATGGATAAGCTTAATCATAGCTTCACAACTTAACAAAACACAACCATTATTGCATCAAGGATATCATCAATAGTTGTCGAGTATACAAGCACATTCAATTATTAATGTGCATAATCTTAATTAAAAGAAGCAAATAAGGTTTACCTATATCATCCTTGTTTCTTTCTCTTTATAAAAACGGAAAGGGCTAGTTTGTTTAATTGTTTTTTTAAAAAACTCTAAAATACCCTTTTATCGAAAAGTGATTATATAAAAGTAATTAAAATAAGAACAAGTTAAATATTCGCCTGAAATAACGCTAAGTCTTCTCATTTTTTCCTTTTAACTTCTAATTTTATCTTATTATATATATATATATATATATATATATATATATATATATATTATTAGAGATATTCTAGTATATCTAGGATAATATTGTGATATTATTGTGTATATTTTTAGGAAACATATCTTGTGTAAAGATATGATAGAATATTTTAGGGTATTGATTATCCTAACTTTATATATACATGTATTGTGGCCTTTGTTATGAATGAGAAGAATATACAGAGAATTATTTTCATAATTTGCCTCTGATTTATCATGGTATCAAGAGCCTAATAAAGATCCGATTTTTTTTCTTTTCTTTGTTTGTTTAATTTTCATAATTAACAAACGACTGCTCCATTAATTTTCTGCTTTGCACCCTTGAGTTTGTGAAGACATGACTGGTGGCGCAGGCTCGGGTGGCGATGGAGGAAAGACTAAGGTCGACATGACCTATCACCTAGGATCAAGTGACGGTCCAGGTAATATTATTACTCCGATTCAGCTTTGGGGTGAGAATTATGATGAGTGGGCGAGGGCAATTAGGACCTCGTTAAAGGCAAAACAGAAGTATGGTTTCATTGATGGCTCGATCGCAAAACCGACAGATGGTGAAAAATTGGACGATTGGGTGGTTGTTCATGCGATGATAGTTGCTTGGATCACAAATACCTTGGACTCATCGATGAGGGCTACCATTGGTGAGTATGATGATGCTTAATTATTGTGGACTAATCTTAAAAACCGGTTTTGTGTTGTGAGTGGAACCCGAATTTGCCAATTGAAATTGTCTTTGGGTGAGTGCAAGCAAGCTGCTTCTGAATCTGTTGCTACTTACTTTGGCAGAATATCAAAAAATTTTGATGAATTGAACACTTATATTACCGTTCCGGCTTGCTCTTGCGGTGGATGTAAGTGTAACATTGTGGCGCGAGTCAAGAAATTACGTCAGGAGGACTTTGTTCACCACTTTTTGATCGGGCTAGACGACACATATAGCCCGATTAAGGGTCATCTTTTAGCACAAGATCCATTCCCTACGGTGGATAAGACATATCAACAGATTATTCAAGCAGAACGCTTGAAGGGGAGTAATGCTATGGCCTTTAAAGTTCAACATGATTCTTCTGTGAAACCACAGCGCTCGAATGATGCTTCTAATCTCCTTTGCACTCATTGTAATAGGGTTGGACATGAAGAGTCTGACTGTTTTCAATTAATTGGTTACCCTTCGTGGTGGGGTGACCGTGGACGTGGAGGTCGAGGAAGGGGTCGTGGTGATTCCGGTGGAAGCAAAGGTGGAGGTCGTGGCAGTGCGCCTGCTGCCCAGGTCCGTTCGCACAAGACAGGTGGTCAAAGTGGCTCACAGACCTCACAAACCCGCAGCAACACTACTACGGACGAGGCTGCTCTTTCGGGGGTAACTCCGGCACAAATACAACAAATTCTCGATCATCTTTCTACTATGAAAAACAAGCTTCATGGTAAGGGTCAATTAGGTTGGATCGTTGACACCGACGCATCTAATCATGTGACGTGTGATTTGTCTTTATTGACAAATGTTACTGATGTGCAAAATTGTCCGGTAGGGCTACCTGATGGGAAAAGTGTTAATGCCTCTAAAATTGGCTCCGTGATTTTACAAGGGGGTTTGACAATTGATAATGTTCTTTTTGTACCTTAATTGAATTGCAATTTGATATCTGTGACCCAATTATGTGATGAACCGAATTGCATTTTGCAATTTACTAACAAACTTTGTGTTATACAGGACCTAATGACGAGGAAGGTGATTGGAGCGGGTGAACGAGTGGATGGACTTTATTATTTCCGTGGTGTTCCTGAGGTGAAATCTTTGACGATAGACGGGGATCGATCGGCAGAGTTGTGGCATCAACGAATGGGGCACCCTTCCATAAAGGTTATGCAACATCTTCCAATTGTGAGTAGTTCTAATAGGAGTCTTAAAATATGTGATGTATGCCCTTTGGCAAAACAACATAGGAATAGTTTTCCCATAAGCAAAAATAAAGCTAGTCGTTTGTTTGAACTTATTCATGTTGATTTGTGGGGTCCTTACAAGACCGCGTCAACTTGTGGTTCCCATTATTTTTTAACAATAGTAGATGATTTTTCTAGAGGAGTTTGGACGTATTTATTACGTAATAAAACCGAAGTTGAGTTGATGTTTCTTAATTTGGTCGCTTTAATTAAACGCCAATTTGGATTTGAGATTAAAATTGTGCGTAGTGACAACGGAACGGAATTTAATTCCTTAAAAAAACTATTTTTTTGCTAATGGCATAATATTTGAGACTTCTTGTGTGGGTACGCCTCAACAAAATGGGAGAGTTGAGCATAAACATCAACACATACTTAATGTGGCCCGAGCTTTGAGATTCCAAGCTAATTTACCTATTAAATTTTGGGGGGAATGTGTTCAAGCGGCTTGTCATTTGATAAACCGTACTCCTTTTAGATTGCTTGACTTTGAGACTCCATTTGAGGTGTTGTTTGGTAAATCTCCTATGTATGAATATATTAAGGTGTTTGGATACTTGTGTTACGCTCATAATCAACGTAGTAAGGGGGATAAATTTGCTAGTCGGAGTCGTCGGTGTGTGTTTATAGGATATCCGTTTGGGAAGAAAGGTTGGAG